AATATTTTTTAAAGAATAGAATCTTCAACTATTATTGCTAGATTAGCTTTTTGTACATTTCCAACACTTCAAGTGTACACCCAGTAATCACTGTTTAACTCCTGGACAGGTATATAACTATCAACTCTTTGGTTTGAGAAGAATTTCTAAATCCTAAAAGATGATCTTGTTAATAAAGCAACTGTTATCTAAGCAAAAGTGCTCCTTGCAATGCTGTCAGAAATAATGCCCAGTGGGGGAACATCTGTCATGCTGAGCATGTAACACCCAAGTGACCACAAGTCAATCTCTTCATCTATTATTTTTTAGCACAGCAACTTAATTCTCTTAGTAACAAAAAATGGAGCCAGCAAGCATTCCCTTAGCATTTTGGAATAGATTCTATCTTAGCTGTGCATTCGTAGCTACTATTTCTCAACATAATATTGCCAGGAGTAGCTGCTCTTGGGAGTGTGCTGGCCCTATCCATTGTTGCTTAGTACCATATCTTATGGAAAGGTATCTTATGAATCATGAGTAAGTGTTTTTTCTAGTTAAAAAAATATTTTCACTAAATCTAACAAATATGCTGAATTATTTCAGAACCATAGGGCTATCCTCAACATTCTGAAATTAAAAAATAGCTGACCTAGAGCCTATCAATCAGGATTAAAATGAGGGCAAGGGCAGACAACATTATTGTGGAGGTCTGCTGCTGGCCATTTGACCAGGAAGACAATGTGGATGAGGCCCTCTATAATGAGATCAGAGTAGCCACCTGTTCACAAGCCCTGGTCCTCATAAGGGACTTCAAGCACACTTGTATCTGTTGAAGGGACATCAAAGAAGGGCATAAATACTGCAGGAGGTTCCTGGAATGCTTTGATGAAAACTTCTTTCTCTGAGTGATAGAGAAGCCCAAAAGGAGAGGTGGTATGCTAGACCTGTCTCTCACCAGAAATGGAGAGTGGTGGGGAATGTGAAGCTCAAGAATGGCTTGGTCACCATGAAATGGTGGTGTTCAAGATCCTTATGGCAGTGAGGAGAGCACACAGCAAGCTCACTGTGGATTTCATGAGAGCAGAATTTGGGCTCTTCATGGTAGTGCACCATGGGATGTAGTCCTGGAGGAGACAGGGGCCCAAGAAACTGGTTAATATCCAAGGATCACCTCCTAGGAACTCATGAGTGAAGGATCTCATCAAAGAGAAGTTGAGCAAAAAAAGATGGCTACATGGGTGAACACACAGCTTCTAAAAAAACGTAGCACAAAAAGGAGGAAGCTACACAGATTGGAAGCAAGTAAAAACAGCCTGGAGGAATACAGAAAGAGTTTCTAAGTAGACAGGAAAGCTAAAATCCTGGGGGGAATTAAACGTGGCCATGGACATCAAGGGGAACAAGTAAAGCTTCTATAGGTGTCAGTGATAAAAGGAAGACTATACGAAATACAGGCCTTCTCAAAAAATAAATGAGAGTCCTGGTTACCCAGGGTATGGAGAAGGCTCAGGTACTGAATTAGGTTTTTGCTTCACTCTTCACTGGTAATTGTTCCAGCCACACCACCCAAGCCACAGAAGGCAAAGGCAGGGACTGGGAGAATGAAGACACTGTGAGAGGAAATCAGATTTGAGCCCATGAGCCTGAAAGTGTACCAGCTCATGGGACCTGACAAGCTGCATCTGTGGCATTTGGTGGAACTGATGGAAGAACCAGCTAACTTCTGAAACATGCAGCTTTTACAACTATCATTCCCTGTCTGAAATTCATAATAATTCTCTTAATTAGTGATTACTATTAAACTGCAAGTATTTTCAATAAGTATATTTAACATATTTTTTATGAGAAAATGAAATAATATTTTGAATATAATAAAATATGCTATTATTATTTTTTTCAAATGCTCTATATGGTAAAGTATCTTATAATTTAGATGTTATATTGCTAGAATTATAGATAAATGTGTTAATGATCTTATTTATCCAAACCATGGGCAGAGTCTTCAAGACATGGAAGTTTTAAGTTCGTATTCTCCTAACCTAAGAGCAATATATTAAAATCTTCCCATTTTACACTTTATTTTTGTTAGTGAGATTAGAAAATTCAGCATAACCCATCAAATCAAAGGGGAAAGTGATTTTTAAACTAAGATGTTAAAAAACTTCTCTATCAGAAACATATTATGAACTATCTAAGCATTTTGGGACAAACCACTATATCTGGTGGAAAAGGGAGAGTCAAAAAGTCAAACCAGGCAGACATAAACAGCTAAGCTTAATTTAACACCATATGTGCACGTTGAAATACTGACATGTCATGAAAAGAAAATGCCTGAGGAAGTCTCTTTGAATAGAAGTCACTTTACTTCCCAGTAGTGACTCATCCACTAGAGTTTCATAAGGTTTTTACTTCATTATCTCCACAGTGAAGGATTTTAAAAAAGATTGTTGGTCTTAATATACTAGGTACCTAGTATAGTCGAATGTCTAATTTATGAAGACTTTCGATTCTGAATTCTTCAGTGTATGACTCATAAAATGAACTCCAGTGAAATCCTCATCCTGCTTTTGTGTAGGTAAAGTGAAATCAAAATATATTTTTTTCAAAATATGACTGAATTGCCATATTCTAGTGAAAGTTTTCTATGCTTACTATTCTTTGCAGCTCCCACATAAAAATGGGCAGAAATGGTCAGAAAGATGCCTTAGAAGAATAACTTTACTACTTACAGGCATGTATAGTATCAGCTGCTTCTTATGCCTCTCTTCCTTAAAATTCCTTTGAGGAAGACAGAGGTATGTAGCTAAAACACTTATGCTGTGATAATTTTTGATTTGTGCATTTACTTTAATTCTTCTAATGTCCAAGGTTCTGACTTTAAAATATTTTTTTAAAAAAATTGCTATTGTCAGGAAAGGAAAATATCAGAATAAAACATGCAAATTACCAATATCTCCTCTTTTTTTTATTTCTTCTTGTCAAGCCTGATGACTCAAAAAAATTACTAGACAACAATTTACTTCCAGAAAATATTCTATGCAGCTTCACGTCTACAATGCTAGTCACTTCAGAATTTCCTGATGGCTATTCTGCTTTTAATATATTATTTTTTTGATCTTCCTCAAAGTGAAAACCTTTGGCTCTTTGGTGCAGTTTAAGCCATATATTATCTCAGTTAAGAAACACTTTCTTGAAAAGACTTAAAAAAATTGTATTTATGTATTTCATATATATTATTTGTATATTTTGTATATTTATATAGTTATATTTTAATTTTAATACTTGTCTGTAGTCTGGTATTTAAATTCCAGTCACTAGATTACTTTTATTTGCTTTACAGAAGTCAGATAACCATATGATAAAATACATACCCTAGTGCAGTGTGATCTGCAGTAAAGAACTTTGCTTGACAATGCTTAACCAAAGAAAGGGACATACAACTAGGATGTTCAAAGCTATGCTGGAGAGTAAAAAATTAATGTATTTTTAAAAAGAAAAATATTTTCAACATAAAAACTTGGAGAAATCAATGAAAATATCCCCATAAGTTGATGTTTTCATTAAGCATTTTGAATATCATGTAACTCTTTCTACAGTTTTGTTTTAAAATGAAAATGTGTATTACTATAGGGGAATAAACATTTTCATTCAACATGTCAACAAACAGACTATTATTATACCAGACGTCTGATAAGAAAAAAATATAAATCTGGTTTTTATTTAGTTAAAATTATGAGGAATAAATAAACACTATTATAATGATTTTTGGTCTGTTTAGTCCTTTTTTTATTCATTTCTTAATTACCAAAACAGCCCTACCACATCCTGAAATACACATTTCTCTTTCCATCCTCTTCTGAATATTTGTAAAACATCATCTGTTTGTTAGTTTCTTCACATCTATAGCCAAACTTTATTTATTTTTCAGTCCCTCACATGTTCAATACCAATTTTTGAAAAGATTCTACTCAAAACTAAAAGAACCCCACCAAACTTTATCACTTTTTCATGCTAAATTTAAATATATTCTTTCCTATTATATTTTGTAGAGGATGGCAAATTTTCCATAAAACTTGTAGAGGAAAAAAAACCAGGCAGTATATTATATTCTACTCATATTTCTACATCTGTAGAAAACTAACTTCTGTTACCTGTTTGCTCCAATTTGCTACAAACCTCAGAATATTAGGCAATAAATTTTAACCAAAAAACATGCCTGATTCAGCTTCTGCATCATGTAGAATGTGTATACAGAGAAATGAAATGTAAGACCAATTGTTTAAAGACCAATATAAGGGAGGTATTTTGGTTTTTTCTTCTTTTTTGCGTTGGTTTAATTTTTGCAAAAATGGAGGTTCACTAAGAAAAATCAAAATTACTTTGTTACAAAAATGTTTGGGTTTTTTTTGGGGGTTTTTTTTGTAGTTTTTTGGTTTTTTTTTTAATCAGACTGCATTACAGCATATAGGATGGTTACCCATTAATAGTGCAAAACAACTTGCTATTGAAGTGGCAGTGACAGAAGAGAATTCTTCTCAGATTAATGGAAACGTCATATCAGCTTTCCTTCTTTGGCTTACTTTTAGGCGTTGGAACGTAGTAGACATGATTTTCTTTTTCAGCCACTACCTGAAATGGTGCTACACATGAGAATATAAGTAAAGTAATAAATATTGGCTAAACATCTTTAACATGTAAACTAGATAAAAAAAAGAAGCAGAAAGAGATAGTGTTGAAAAAGAGATCAGATGAGATTACTGATGAAGTTGTTAAAGATTAGTTTTGGGAGGAAGCTTGGTTAATAAATTCATTAGTTATAATGAGATAATAGAATGTAACAATGAAAGCTGATAATGATAAAATTAAGTGCTATTATTAATACAGAACATCAAGAAATAACTGTATGACATGGAGAACTAAAATAATAAAAATGACTTGAAATTCAATTATAAATAAATTTCAAAAAGGGAAACCATTGTCAGGATTAATAACAATAATTTTCACCATGATGTGTAACTCACCTGTTGGAAAGAGAAGATGAAGGGAAAATATAAGATTATTGTCTGATCATCATTTCACTTTCCAGAGCTTGCAGGATGCACCTGTTTGGCAGGAAAATGCAATTTTATGATGTAGAGATAAGTTCTAGAATAAGGTTCCAGGATAGACAGGAAAAGATTTATATAATTTTTTCAAAGTTTTGAAGACCTTTTCTGTCACGCTTCTTTGAAAAAATCTGCACAATTATTATTTAATTTCCTAGGTAAATGAAGTTTTTAGGAACAGAAGTGATCAGAAATTTTGAAAAATTGTCAGACATTCTGAAAACACTTTTCAGTAGGAGGATGCATTAATAAATGACTGAGTTCTGAGTAACTAACTAAATAAACAGTTCCTCTTTAGTTTAAGCACCTTATAAAAATATATATGATAGCAGTATAAAAGGATGAAACAGCCAACCCAAACAACCTGGAATATATTCCACTTCTGTAGTCCTGTCCCCATAAATTTCTTTAGGCTCTTTAAACACCATTTTTACTGCCTTCACCTCTCCCTGAATAAATAGTTATTAAGAAAACCACAAAACAAAAAGGTAAGCTGTGAGTCTTTTAAAAAATTTTGAAAAAATTGCTATCAGTGAACATATGAAATATTCTTTCAGCAACTTCCATGAGAACCCTATTGACATCACGTTAAATAGCATATATAAAACATAAAATAATTTTTATTATGTATTTGTATCTTTTCTATATTGTATGCCTAAATAAATATACATGCACATATTAAATATATACACCCAGAAATACATATCAATACAACAATACAGTACAACTATAGATGCTTTTAACTTATCTTGCTGTTTCAAACAACCTCATTGAAAGTTTTTTCAAAGCAGCAAGCAACCTTGATTCATTACGCAGTTGTTTCAGTGGGAAAAATTGTTCAGGTGCTTTTCAAATCCTACTCATAATCCTATCCGTAAAAAAAAAAAAAAATCTTTAATTAACTTCTCTTACTGTTACATTTCTACTAAAAGAACTCTTCCATATGAGTGAAAATGATGTTTCACCACTGACTTCAATTGGAGGCAGGAGTCTGCATACTTTATTCAGATACAATCTAGGTGTTTTTCCATCTGCTACATAGATTGTTCACAAGGGATTGTGCTCAAGAGGCCTTTCACACATTCAAATATTTTAATGTTGCAATTTCAGCAGCGTAGAGAAACAAGAATGTTCTTTCTTCTGCACAGAGTAGAAGAAATACATTATTTTAGGAAAACATATCCAGATCTAATTTGTGCCATGTTCCCTGGTGTTCTTGTAGTCGATGACCTGTCACTATTTTCATGTATCATATTAATTTTATTTTCAAATATTTATAAAACAGGTCAAAAGATTTACTACAGGGTAAAATTAAAAAAAAAAAACCCACAAAGTTTCAGGAAAATGCCTCAAAGAAGCAATTTAGATATAGTGTTAAAAAAGTTTACTCAGGCAATTTTGTATGAAAATAACCTTCCCCATGCATCTGATACATAAAACAAATGGAATATACAACTCTCTACATCTTTCCACTGCACTTTTTAAAGCCCGTTTATTGATATGTAAGCTTTAGTTCAATCTTTCAGATCATAATGCAAGTACCATTACCCTTAATAAAGAAAGTCATTACAAATTGTAACTATGGAGTGGTCCACCAAAACAAAAGATGCACTATTAAAAATAAGTGCATATAATTAAAACTGCAACTACATGCCTTGAAGAATATGTAAAAATTATGTCATTTAAAAACTATTGGAAACAACAGTTCTGAATTAGAGATTGAGTATACCAAACTAAAAATCTAAAGACTGAGATTTTCACAATGGAGTAGACTGAGGATTTCCAGAGCTCTCATTATGTCCAGAGTATGTCAACTCTTGAAGGTGAATGCACAATCCAGGTTTCCCTTTCCTATGAAAAAGTCCAACATAAGCTCTCTAAAGCACTTTAATTCCTTTAAAGAAAAATAATCTACCATAATGAATTTTTAAAAACAAAAATTGGAAAACCTTCACGGAAGAGATTAAAAATGATTCACGGCAAAATGTCCACACAATAATAAGTTCTGCTGTCACTGCTTATGGGGGGGTATATCCAGTTCTTTTTAATTCCCAAGGGTCGCTGCTGTTGCTGCTGTATTTTATATAATTAGTACTACCACTAGTAAAATATAATTCCAATTTCTTTTCCACAGAGGTTGATTAATTGAAATGCATCTTAGATTGGAATAAAAAGAAAAATTCCCTCCCAGTATGAGGGAATCAGAATCACTTAGATGGGGGCTGAAATAAGGCTCAGCACCCAGAATAGGAATTCTTGGGTGCTCTATTAGATATTCAGATATTTTAAACCATCAGGTAGGTTTTGTTAAGCAAAATATTTGCAGCAAAAGCTAACCATCTTTGCAATTAATTTTCAATAAAATTACTATATTTGAAGTTCTTAATCAGAAAGCCATCCATGAAGCCAAACGGCAAAAGTTCTGAACAGTCTTGAAGGTATTAAAAGGACAAAGTGGCAGTTAGACATTTGTATAGGATTAACCTTAGCCTTTCCCATCAATAACAGAATGAAACAACACAGTCAAACAACACAAGCAAAATCTCTCTTTTCCATTTTTAGCAGCATTTGTCACATTAAGATGAAGATTTCATATGAAGTCTGTGAATTAAAACAATCCAGAAGACAGGAATGGGAGGGAAAAGACAGCAGTGAGCTGCACAATGCCTTGTATTATCTGTGAACTGCAAAATGCCCCTGCAGGAAGAACACTGCACTGGGGCTTTAGAGCAACAAGATGACATGAAAAGAGAAAGGCAATAAAATGTGATGGGCAGGGTTCTCTGTAGGCACTTTTGGTTGCCAAGGAAGCTTGCAATGTTCAGAGCTCCCTTGGGAACATTTTAGTCACTCATTTAACATAAGCTGTGGATAGTGTGATGAGTAACAGTGTCAAAGCTGTGCTGTCAGGGGTTTTGTTCTCTCACCTATAATATCGTACCTCCTGCCTCTGCCAGTAGTCTGGCCTCCACAATATCATAAAACAGTAAATGGTAGGAAATACTTCTATTTTAAAGAATATATTATTTTATAGTCTGTTAGTGATTTCCAGTATTGATCATTGGTAACTTGAAATAATGTGTACTCCTGAAGGTATTATTTTTTAAATAATTTACCTATTCATCAGTGAGTAGTTAATGCATCAAAAATAAACAGATTGCAAATATTTTTTGTTTTGTAGGACATAATAAAACAACTACGAAAAAAATTAGAATTATCTAAAATACCTATAACAGGAATGAGATTCTGTATGACAATATATGAATTCATTTTATTGAGATAAATTTTTTAAAAACACAATTCAAAATTAAGATAGGAAATAATTGATGTAAGTTGAAACTTTAGGTTTTGAAAATGATGAGTGGTTGAATTCTCACCTTTTATCTCTAAATCAACTAATAACTTTTAACAATAACGCAATTTTGCAAAACACATAGAAGTACCAAAGGATCTTAGAGCTACCAATCCCATAACAAAATACATTTGGGGGAACGAAATATTATTAAAAATTAATATAAAGAAACAACTTTTATTTTTTTACATCAAAGCATATTTCTGGAGATAGAAATGATTATAAATCACAATAATAAAAGTTAAGGGTCTCACAACAGGGTTCCTGTGCAATTTTTTAGCCTCCCAAGTGTTATGAAGTACTAAAACAATAAGCATAATTTTATTACAGAATTAGAAGAAACTTCTAGGGACAACCCCAGAAAACCATGTAGTCAATCCCTTTTCACTAAAGCAAGATTGCTTATATTCAGAATCAAACTTGAGAGCATCCAATTAATCTTCCCTTAAAGTTCTACCTAAGAACATTTCTCTGCAATGTCGTGTAGCCTACTGCGCTCTGGACCAACATTGCAACATTACAACATTACCTCTTACTAACAAACTGAAATAATTTTTCTTAATTTAACAAGCTATATCTCTTTCTGCAAAGACATCTCCTTCGAAACACAGCTTACATTACAGCAACAAGGCCAAGTGCAAGACCTGGGTCAGGGTAACCCCTGGTGTCAATACAAGGTGGGGAATAAACTGAGAATAGCCCTGCCTTGAAGAACTTGAGGGTGCTGGTGGATGGGAGGCTGGACGTGAACTGGAAATGTGCTGCTGCAGCCCAGAAGGCCAACTATGTCCTGGCTGCATCAAAACAAATGTGACCTGCAGGGAAGTGATTCTGCCTCTCTACTCCTCTCAGGTGAGACCCCACCCATAGTACCACCCCCAGCTCTGGGGTCCCAAGCACAGGAAAGACATCAACCTCTAGAGTAAGTCCAGAGGAGGGTCACCAAATTTATTAGAGGCAGGGAGAGGTCATGTTTCCTATGAGATCAAGCTGAGAAAGCTGAGGCTGTTGAACCTGGAGAGCTGAAGGATCCAGCGTGACCTGTTTGAAGACTTACAGTATCTAAAGGAAGCCTGGAAAAAATCTGGAGTGGGACTGCTTACAAGGGCATGTAGGAATAGACCGAGAGGGAATGGCTTTAAACTGAGAAACATGAGATGACATATTAGAAAGAAAATCTTTACTGTGTGTTTGGTAAGACACTGAAACAGCTAGCCCAGAGAAACTGTGCGTCTCATCCCTGGAAGTGTTCAAGGCCAGGCTGGATGGGACTTTAAGAAAATTGGTCTAATGGAAGATGTCCTAGATCTTGGCAGGGGGGTTGGAATTAGATGATCTTTAAGGTCCCTTCCAGGCCAAACTGTTCAATGATTCTATGATTTAGGAAGGTTATTCTTATGCTCCCATTTTTATCTCAATTTGTACATTCTTTCTTCCAGAGAGTCCTAGGCATGAGAGGGCATGTCCTATTTGCTTATTTAGAATACATGTGATATGCCCAACATAAATAATAATTCCTTTTTGTACTGTGCCAGTAAGCAAATGGAAAGAGAAATGTTATCCTCCATATATGATGCAAAATAATTTTCAACTCTAAGTGAATCTTGGAATGTAACTGCCTTTTTTTAAACTCAGAAATACATAA